ACAGACACACACACACACACACCACCCACACACACACACACACACACACACACACACACACACACGCACGGAGTTGCTACAACGCCCGAGTCGAAACAAACCCCTTTCGCCTCCTGGCATTTACTAAATCCAACTGCCTTGTCTTCTGGATTGTGGCTCGCATTGCAGCCCTTGAGCTGGCCCGGTCTGATGTCATTCTCAAGCCTTCTATCCTGAGTTCTTGCGGTCTGAAAGGCTCCTAAAAGATACAGTGATGTGATGGGGGGCTGCGGCTGCTTCCCGAGATGCAGACCTTTTCCCTCTTAGCGGCTCCAGGAAATTTGCGTCTTCCTCGACGGCTTCGCCGAGGCTTCCAAGATGTTCAGCTGCTCCGAGCCCGAATCCATGAAAGCCACTCGGGGGTTGCAGTAAATCATTAGGTATATACCTTGTTTGGGTTTCTTATACTTTGAGCACTTGTATCGAAGCATGGCCAGTGCAACTGCCTGCGAATAGAGCCGATGAAACTGAGTCCAACAAGCAGCTGCAATCCACGTGGAAAGCAGTGCTCTGCGTGACGCAAAAAACACTGAGCAGTCCTGTTTCCTTCAATTCAGACCCTTCAGCCTACTTGCAGCCGTCGCAGAAGGCGAAAAGCTGAAATAACCTTCACCCCGAAACCTAGAACCCAAAAGGTTTTCGTACAAGACGCTACTCAGGCTGTAATTTGCCAACGAATCTCTGCAACTCTGCTTCCAGCCTTTGTGGGTCTTGTTCGGCAGAGCAAAGCCTAACGGCCCAACGTGGCTCATAGCCGTCATAGCCGCAAGGCAAAGCACATCTCGGCGGCAGCTGATGAGGCGGCCGGGCGCAGGAGATCCGGGTATTTTGGGACAGAACCAATCCGTACTGAGCTTTTTGGGTGGAGCTTCACCCATGCTCAAGACTTCCCCATGTTTCGAAAAGCCAAAACATCAAAAGGCCTCAACATGTGTGTGAGTAGATTCGAGACCCTTTCCTAGACAGTGTCAGCAGCAGACGCGGATATCAGGGCCTGGGGTTTACAGTGAAAGCCACGGAGGTAGCGACCCTGGCAGACGTGGCAAGCAACCAACTGCCTCCCCCAACATAGCGAAGTAAGGAAGAGCCCGAATCCACACGGACGAAGCACCTGCAACGCAGCACTGTCAACAACAATGCTGAACCCAAAAAAAGCTTTGCAACTCACCGAGCCCTACATGCAACTTGCACCCCAATCCCGTAACCTTGCAATCAACTGAGGTCCAAGCGCTGCGCTTAACCATTCTGGACAAGCTGGTGCGGGGCTCTGCCAGCAGCGCGAGGTTCTGGGTCAGGGCCTCTTCAAAGCTCGGTAGTGTTGAGGCTTCGGTTGTGGGTTTGAGTCTGGGTTTAGGGCTTTAAATCTGGCGTCTGAGGCTTTATTCAGCCTTCGTGGATCCCTCGATAGGCCAGGAGCATCAGGCATAAATGGCATTTTCTCCGGACTTGGTGCAGCAACAATTTCTCAACTTTGAATCCGAAGCTTCTCCTAAAGACCCCGGCGGACAGCCTCCGCTTCAGGAATCCATCCGGCTTCAACGTCTTTAGCGTGAAATTAAAATCTGGTGTTCAGTCCAAGCAACGTAGATCCGGGAGCGAAGGGAAGCTCAGCATCCCGACGCCAGGAAGCCGGCGTTGTAAGCAAAAGTCAATGGCTTGAACCCTGGACCTCGAGGCAATCGAGCAAATCGAAACTCGGAATAGTGCCCCAAGCCCTATACAGGAATCCGTGGAGCTTCACCAGGAGATTCCGAAGCGATCTGCTTAAGGCTTCTATTGATATGAATGAGCCTTGGCTTTCGTCCTATCCTAGCCCGAAGCCCTGATCCCGAAACCATTCTAATGTTGCAGACCCCTACATTATCATGGGATTTTGCTGAGGCGGGGTGCTTCGAGGAGAAGGTGCAGTCCTCCTGGCGGAAACTTCGCGCAGAGCCGCGCAGTTTGCAGTTGGATAGAGCGGGTGTAGAAAAGAGCAACACTCCTGGGTTGGACGGGTTGGGGTCCTACAGTTTGGCCATCTAGTAATCTAGTGAGCGGGGACGGAGACAGGAAAGACGCTGCCACAGACCACGCATGCTTCGTGAAAAGTATTGCAGTACTTTGTAGTATATGCAATTCGTTCTCGTGCTAGCAGGTGCAGCTGGTGTGAGGGTCTCGAGTCTCGGGTTGGGGAAGCACGGAACCCTAGACTGCACAAACTGCGAATTTCACGAGTGGGTTCTCAGCTTCTGACGGCACCTAATACTTACAGGTGCCTCCCTCACACTATAGGCAGGGGTAGGTAGATCGTGGTTCATCGTAGTGTGCAGTGCTCAGTGTTTAAGGCTGCGAAGCTGGGATGGAGTGATGGTCAGTTTACGGCTAGCAGCGGTGCAGAGCAATACGGCAAGGACGAAAGAACAAAGAACTCGACTAAGGCTAGCTAAGGACCAAGGCTTCGAGCTCTGTGCAGTCCAAGACCACAATCTCCTTGACGCTAACCGTACAGTCTTAAAGCTTTCCGGTACTCGGCCGTCAAGAAGGCCAGGAGTGATAATAAGTATATACAGCTGTCGCTCATGTCCCTGCTGTCAGTGTCTATAGCCGTGGCCTCTGCGTTGATGATGGTGGTGGCGACGAAGATGAAGATTACAAGCAAGAAGAAGATCATGATGACAACGGCGATGACGACGATGGCGATGCGACGACGACGGCGACGACGACGACGACAGTTGCGAAGAGTATGGGTAGGATGATGATGACGACGATGGTGTTGCTGCTGATGATGAGGAGCAGCCCAGGCGCAGGAGTGGCATCTGCAAGCAAGCTGTCATCATTGTTAGCATCTTCAATGCAGTCCTGGGAGGATTAACAGTTTAGTTATGATGACGCTTGCGAGTATGCTTGTGATGATGCATATTTTCATTGGGACTGCGCATTGTGTCTCCTGCACTTGGTTTCTTTTTTAACCCCATGAGCAACCCCAAAGTCCCACTGTGAGCTCTGTGTTCTTCCCAACCCGCCAGCATCTCGGAGCTTCGATCTCCGTGTTATACAGTTTGACATTATCGTCTTAGTCGTCGTGGCCAGTCGTGCTATTAAATCACATCGGCACATATATAACTCCCTGGCCACATCATACTGGCTTAGGCTGTTAGAAGCCGCGTGGTCCAACCCTATGAAGTTATACAAACAACAGCAAAGTCGCAGACACACTCAGAACCCGTGGACCGAAACCGCAACGCCTCAAACAAGGCCGAGTGTGTTCTCGTACCTGCTGGCCAGGCACATCCCGCTGAGTAACTGGAGTTCACCTACCTGAAGCTTCAACTCCCTTAACCGCAAGTTCAAAGAATTGAAGTAGTTGAAGCTAAGTGCCAAGCCCCGGACTGCAAATCCCCACGCCCTACGTCAACCTCTTTACCGACTTTCGGATTTCGGAAGGATCTGCAAAGCCGAGAGCAAGTTGTAAGCTAGGGAGCCAAGGGCAAAGGGTTTATCCACACGTCGACGGTCAGCATTCAGGGTCAGAAGGGCTCAGGGATTGCTGTGTGAGGGAGTGGGGAAGAACGCGGATTTCCAGGGCATGAGCCATTCATGACAGGCTTGTTCGTGAACAAACTTTAGTCAGGATGGGAGGCAAGCCCACCAGGCCTGCAACAGCGAAGCAACAAGATCACATGCTTTTCGGCACAAGTGCGAGAACATTTTGACAGTCTTTTTGAAAAGACAAAGTACGTAGATCCTACCGAGGGTTGTCGACATCCGACATCAGAGCAAATGAGGCCGAGAGAAGCTAACCAGAAAGAGGCCAAGATCGCAAAAACCTCAAACCCATGTCGACGGCTCATAAGATCGGAAAGCCCGGTTCAACTAGTTCCCTAGGCGTCCTCACTCAACTAGGTCTGCGACAATTCGGGTGTTCTGAGTACAGCTCAAGCAAGTGAGTTCGACCAAGGGATCCTCATGAACTGTGATGCCTGAAGCCCGTGCTTGGACTTCCCGCGCAGGCCTCTCTCTTCCTTCGCGAGCGCTTTGCGGGAAGTCAACTTTGCAGCACTCAGCCGGTCGGAGCCTCGCTGTGTTGTGCTCTTCAGGGAACGGTGCTTGTCCCAAGCGAGACGGTTTGCCAAACTGGACCTCCTACATGGCTTCATTCTCTGGTCCACCCCTTCCAGGGTCTAGAGTCTAGGATGTAGCATCCCTCCGGGATCGATTTCGACCATGGCCCTGTTCCGAGAGTGTCCGCTGCCCTCTGGTATTCCAGGAAAGCTCTGGTTGCACTCTATGCCTGGGCGCAACGAAGACTGGGAATCGTTTTCGGAGAGTGCCCGAGCCGCCAAAATTGGCGGTATTGCTTGCATGACCAGTCGAGAGGAGATAGCCGACAAATCTCCCAGCTACTCGGAAGCCTTGGCGGGAGCCACCGTTCCCTGCCAGGTGATAGAGTTTGCCATACCGCCAGGCGGCGTGCCCGAGGATGCCGGGACATTTAGCCACTTTCTCGAAAGCTTGATCAAGATTATCCGTGAAGGGCAAGGTGTCTTAGTGCATTGCACCGGGGGTGTTGGCCGTACCGGCTTCGTGGCCATTTGCTTGCTGCACTCTCTTGGACTGAGCCTTGAGGATGCCACGACACGCGTCAAGGAAGCCGGCAGCGGACCCGAGACTGAAGAACAACTCCGATACCTCAGCGAGCACCTCTGCGAGATGAAGCCCTGACCGGCAAAACGAGACCTGAAGAACTGTCGAAGGATGTACAGACACCACATCCAGGTAAGTGTCTCCTTAACTTTGGCGCGCTGCTGCAAAACGGAGCTTTTGTCATGCCATTCAGGGTCTGAGGTTTCGTAGTGCCCCTTTTCACGGCAGTTCGAAATGCGTAGACCCTCAGATTCTGCTTGGGGTTCTAGCGTGCTTCAGGTCCGGCGGTATATGGTCTGGAAGGGGGTTTAGGACGGCAGTCGTGGTCATGTTCATGGTGGCCGTGGTGGTCGTCGTGTTCGCCGTGGTGGTGGCGAAGTCGCGGTCGCAGACCGTCATGGTCGTGGTGCCGTCTTCGTCTTCGTCGCAGTACTCGTAGCAATAGTAGGTGGTAGAAGTAGTCGTCCCATTACAGTCGTAGTAGTAGTAGTAGTAGTAGTAGTAGTAGTAGCAGTAGCAGTGGTAGTGGTAGTGGTAGTGGTAGCGGTAGTGGTAGTGGTAGTGGTAGTGGTAGCGGTAGTAGTAGTATTAGTAGCAGCAGTAGTAGTGGTAGTGGTAGTAGTGGTAGTAGTGGTAGCAGTGGTAGTAGTGGTAGTAGGAGTAGTAGGAGTAGGAGTAGTAGGGGTAGTAGTAAGTAGGAGGAGTAGCAGCAGGAGCAGTAGCAAGAGCAGTAAACGTCCGCCCTCGTCCTCCTGCTCCTCATCGTGCTGGTGGTGGTGGTGCTGGTGCTGGTGCTGGTGGTGGTGGTGGCTGGTTGGCGGTGGCCGCAGCACTAGCTACCGCGGAAAGTGCTGATAGAACAACTTACTGCAGCATATTCGTCATAGTATTGTTCTAAAGTCTAGAATCAAATAGACAGATTACAAGTGCAGAAACACGTTAATTGCTTCAATAGTCGTAGTAGTTGTGCTGGCGGTGGTAGAACCAAACATGAGACCGACCCCCGTTTGTGAGGTTTGCCAGGTCTTTCTCTGATCGGCGGTAGTGGTTGTGGGATCTCATCACAAGGTCTCTTGTGACGCACTTGATTTGAGAAACGGTGCAGTAGCATCGGAATGGCTCCGTGCTTTCCTTTCGCAGACAAGAAGTCAGCGGCACTTCATACCGAACCTCGAGCCGGGCCTATGGCGACGTTCGGAGCGCGGTTGCGCCCCACAAACCACCAAAACCTGCACTCTGACAGCTGAAAACCTGCGGAAGCCTGCGGAAGCCTTTGTGAACCCAAGAAGTCCCAACTGCTAAAGGTGTTGAAAACCATGAAGCCTCCGAGCTCTTCCGCTTTCAGCCAGGTCTCTTGTGACGAAAGTGGCGAACCTGTTGCAGGATGCTGAGAAGTTCTCCCTCAGTCAGCGGAGTCGGTTCTGGTTGATAAGCTTCAGGTAGGCATCTACGAGGCTCTTGTGCGGAGTTCAGGTTTAGGGCCTTGGGGCTTGGGCTTTTCGTGCTGGGCTCGTGGATTATGTCAGGATGTATTCGTGCGGAATCAGGGTTAGAGTGTTGAGATCATGGTTGTTGATGTTTGGCAGGCCTTGCCTGAGATGGCTTGCGATGGCTTACATTCGCTTTTTGTTCTGGGGAGTTTGGGATCTATGCGCCGGGCTGTGGACATCACAAGATTGTACAGAAAACAAGGGGCTTCTGAAACCTTTGTAGAAGCCGCAGGCTGTCCTGAACTTCAGCCCCACACTCTACACCCTAAGCCCTAAAACCCAAACTTTAAACGAGAGAGCTTCGATCCTCCTGCGCTGAAGCTTCATAGCCCATCTGCAAGCCTGTGGTTTCAGACCCGCAGTGGATGCTGCTTTACATAACTTGTACGTGTCGTAGCAAGTATTTACATGACTGAAGTGCATAAATGACTTCTGAAAGGATGCCTACACGAGATGCTACGTAGTCACAAGGACCTTAACGGAGACACGGGAAACTAATCGGACTCTCGACGCCCTGCAGGCTGTGTGTTTGACGTATGTGTGTTTCTTCCATGTCTTACGACCCTGCAAAAGCGAAGGGCACTATGTCACCTCTGTCACCCTTGACCAAACTTCACAGAGGGAGCGAGAGAACAGGCTCAAGCCAACTTCCCAACTGAATTTCCAGAGCCTTTCAAGCGCTCTTTCAGCGAAACACGGTTGCAAGGCCGCCTTAAGTGCTCGAAACACTCAGTATACCGACCAGGCTGTCACAGCTGCTGCGTCAGGGGCCCTTCTCCAACGAGGTTCGGCATGAGGGGGGAGTGGATTCTAGAGCGAGCCGCACCGAATCCGCCTTGGGCACGAGGCGGTCTTTCGGGGTTTTGTACTTCGGGCTTCGGATTTGGGGTTTGGTTTGAAGTCGAGAGCTCGGACAGGGGCAGCTGCATCTCCCTACAGATTTGAAAGCCTTGGCGCGTACTTGTTGAGAGACTCGTCATGTCATGGGATGTGTGTCTTACGGCGCTCCCCTGGTCCCCTCGTTTCTTGTTCTTTGTGCTCCTGGCTTCCGCGGTTTCTGGCGTTTGCATTCGCTTTGCTTGTCTTTGTGCTAAAGTTATTCTGTTCTGTGCCTGCATGTGCCATCTGCCTCGTTACGTTTGCTTGCTGCATTCTGGTTTGGCTACGTCTACGTCCTCTTCTGCGGCAGAGATGGGGTGCCGTTTATAGATCGGGATGATCGAGACGAGTTCGTGGGTAATTATTGTAATGGCAACTTGCAGTATTCCGCAACTAGTGGGAGATTCCACTTTGCCAGATTTTCTTCAGCGGCAAGCTATTACAGAGCTAACTAGGGAACAACGTTTTGGAGGATTTTGTTTTGGGTAGCTGCTGAAGGGTTCCACTTTGCAGGATTTCTTATGTCGCAAGGCATTCCAGAACCGCAGTCGCCACGGTCTTCGTTGGCGGCAAGATTGTGGGGAAATCCATCCTCAAGGGTTCTGTTTTGCGAAAGCTTTTGGACTTTTGAAGAATTGCAACTTGCCGCCGGAAGGCACCAAGCCACACCCGTAGAAACAAAAGGAACAAACATTCCACCATATTGGTTAATGTACAGGACAGGGTTGCGGTGGTTTGGCATTGACGCATGACACTTTGGGATGCAAGGGATTGGGTCCAGACACCCAATGAAGCATAACGAAGCCTCCCCAAATCCTACGTTGGACATGAACATGTAACCCCCAGGAGCAAGGAAATACACGACCCTCAGCCTTAAACCTTCCACCCCAAGTGCAGCAGCCAACCGAAAAGGTCGAACTCGAGCTTTTCACGGCAAACTGCCGCGAGGACTTGCAGAGCTTGCCTGGCCCTCGGGACTTTGGCTCGTCTGGAGCATTTTCTGGACATCCGCTGCCTGGTTCTTCTGGCCATCACGGCCTCTCTATTCTAGAGAACCTGCCGAAGCAATGCTGTGCTGCAACCTTGCACTTTGCTGCGCACCTGGTCTGAGACGTGGATCTGGTCCGAGACTAAAACGAAGCTACGAGGCAGTTAAGACAAGACCGATGATGTATCTACAGTTGATACATGAACGCTGCCTTCCTTTACATGTGTTCCTGGATCCTAAAAGCCTAAACAGTCTTAACGTCTGGTGGTCAACCTGGTAGTCGAATCCCGAACATGATCCCCGAGTGCGGGTCTTTTGGTTCGGAGCTAGCCGCAATCCAACACAAAGACTTGTAAACCAGATGCCAAGCCCTCGGACAGTTATAAGATCCTGTATGTATTTTAATGCGAAGTACAACCACAAAGTTGTAAGTCCTGAGCACGAACATGAGAGCATCGGCAACGCGAATGACATCAACAAGCTGTAAATGATATCTATGTGCGCAGGCTCGCGTCACAGCTGGAATCCGGTGACCTCCGGCCGCTAGAGGAGCTGTGGGCACGGCCCTCAGCGCAACCCGAGTCGCTGGTGTTCAGGCCGCGAGCGTCATTTTCTTTTAAGCCCAGACGAGCTCCGGCATTCGGGATCAAGCACCAGACGCACCCCTGGGTCTGGGGTTCAGGATTGGTTGGTTGCTAGGTTTGACGTTTCAATCGGTATCAGGTTCTCGGATTGCTGTCAGTTTGGATTTAGTCCCAGAACTTCTGTTCAGAACAGACTTGTAAACAATTCCAAGAGCAGTGTGCTTTCGTGGGATCGTGAAGGTAGTGGATGTCGTAGCCGCAGTCGCACCGCTTGTTCAGAGCCTCTTCACGCCACTGTTCCTTTGGGTGCAGCACCTCCGAAGCCCAAGCAGAAGATGACGATTCCTTTCATCGAAATCGGGCCGCCGGCTTTCTTGCAATTTGTTGAAGCACTGCAGAACACAGGAAGCTCAGCAGAATCCATTAGTCTGCTTCAAGCCCGAGAGCAATCCTTTCGCATCATGGTGGCCGGTGCCAGATCTGACATAAAAGGCTTGGGGCCCGGGGCGTTAGAGAGCCCGTGTCGGAGGTCTGTCTCTTCATCTTGTTTAGTTCTCCAGGCAGCCACTCCAAATCCTGAAAGCCTAAATTGCGTTGTTCCAGGATTGTTGTCAGCTCCTGGTCCTTCCACTGCCCTTGGTCCGAAGCCGAGAATGCTGTTGTTGCATTGCAAGACGAAGCAAGACGGATGGGTGAAGGCGCGTGCGACCACCTGGAATCCTATAGTTTTTGTTCCATTTGGGGGTGGTCGTTTTCAAAGGCGAAGCTCGGGTTGTCATGCAGACAGGAGGGTTTCCGAGTGTTGTGTGATGTTCCGCGTGCCTTGATGGTTTTTTTCATCGTGAGCTCAGTCAGGTCTCTGCGCGTTTACACTGGCTCCTTCCAGTCCGGGGAATGACAGCCAGACTGCTCTGAACCCTCTAGCCCAGCAGTTGTGTTAGGCTGTCGCACGTTGGGCTTCAGTTCGTTTCAGATGCGTTGCAATGATTCAATTCTCAGGGTTATGGTTTAGGGATGACAGCTGCTTTTCCTATCTTTTCCTAATAACATCGCTGACCACTGTTTTACTGCAAGCAGACAAGGAAGGAACACGCAGACTTTTGGCATGCATGTGTCTGTGTGTGTGTGCACTTTCTGGTTTCCTCTTTGGTCTCAACGTCGTAGCAGGATGTGATGGATTTGGGCTTGGGGATTCGGAGTGCAAGCTGTAGGCGTGCAGCAGTTATGCAGAGAGCGTCGTGCGTAAGCAGCAGGCGTCGGAGTGACTCGGCCCAATTCCATAATCCCTGGACTGAAGCCATAAATACCTGAAGCCTATGCTCCACCCCTGAACCCCACAGCAAAGTTCTGCTTACTGCCCGTCTTTGTAACTTGAGGCTCGGGATACGCTTGAGGTCCTGCAGCGGGTCCTGCACCTTGGCAGACCGGAAGGGTTTGGCTCCTTGGGTTCGCGGCTTAACTCTTTAGTCTAAAGTTAGTCGTACTACTTGCGGGATCATGCTTGAAGTTACTGCTGATCTGAGGAATTCCAATCACAACGTTTGCCAGTACTAGTGCTGCTAAGATAGATGTATTGTATCAGCATGACAATTCGGACCATTCCTATCTACCTTCACTACGGTGTATGTGTGCTTGCGAATGCTGGTGCTAGTGCTAGTCGGTGGTTTTGCAGCGCTAAGTCTCCCGATTCTGGGTAAGCCAACCGCCAGCTGCTAGCCATTGCTTCTACATAGATTATACATGACAGTAGTAGCTAGCAAAGTAGTCAATTCAGCAGTATCAGTGCAGTGGGAGTCGTAGCAGTAGCAGCAGCAGCGGCAGCGGCAGTAGCAGTCGGAGTAGTAGCAGCAGCAGTTGTCGCCGTCGTCGCCGTCGTCGTCGTCGCAAAAGTGGAATCAGAAGTAACAGATAGTAGAAGTAGAAGTCGAAGTGGCCGTTACAGTAGCACAAGCAAGAGCAGGAGGAGCAGAGGCACGAGCAGGAGGAGCAGCAGCAGCAGCAGCAGCAGCAGCAGCAGTAGCAGCAGTACCTGCAGCAGTAGGCGTAGCCGCAGCGGTAGCGGCAGCGGTAGCGGTAGCGGTAGCAGTGGGAGGCGCCATAGTCGTAGTAGTAGTAGTGGTCGTCGTCGTCGTACTGGTGGTGGTGCTGGTAGTGGTAGTGGTAGTGGTAGTGGTAGTGGTAGTCGTAGTCGTAGTGGTAGTGGTAGTCGTAGTCGTAGTCGTAGTCGTAGTCGTAGTCGTAGTCGCAGTCGTAGTCGTAGTCGTAGTCGTTGTCGTTGTCGTAGTCGTAGTCGTAGTCGTAGTCGCAGTCGC